CAGGGAACGGATCCAGAGAAGTTCTGAAACTCCACGTGCCATGGCCCTATATTCGGCTTCAGCACTTGATCTTGCCACCACTGTTTGTTTCTTACTCTTCCAYGAGACAAGGTTACCCCCAACAAGGGTGCACACTCCTGAAGTTGATCTCCTGTCATCAAGGCATTCTGTCCAATCTGCATCTGTATAAGTCTCTAGTTTCAACTGTCCATGATCAGTAAACAATATGCCTCTACCCGGGTGCCCCTTCAGATAAGCAAGAATCCTCTCAACTGCCTCTCAATGCTGGACTCGTGGAGCATGCATGTATTGACTTACTACACTTACTGCATAGGAAATGTCTGGTCTTGTCATACACAAGTATAGCAGCCGACCCATAAGTCTCTGATATCTCCCAATGTTCTTTACCGGTTCACCTTCTGATGCATTGATTTTATGGTTCTGATCAATAGGGGTGTTGATTGCCTTTGTTCCAAGCTTCCATGTCTCTTGAAGAAGATCCAAGACATACTTCCTTTCAGAGATAAAAATTCCATGTTTTGATCTTGCAACTTCAATGCCTAAGAAGTATCTCAGTTCTCCAAGATCCTTAATTGCAAATTCTTTATGTAGGTTCCTTTTCAGACCATCAATCTCACTCAGATCATTCCCGGCGACAACAATATCATCCACATAAACAATTAGGACTGACACCAAAGATCCCCTTCGCTTCACAAACAAAGTGTGATCGGATTGAGTCTGAATGTAGCCAAAAGCAATCAAGGCCTTTCTGAATCTGTCAAATCATGCTCTGGGAGATTGTTTCAAGCCATAAAGTGACTTCTTAAGCCTGCATACCTTTCCCTTTTCAGTATCATTGTAAAAACCAACAGGAAGATCCATATACACTTTTTCTTGCAGATCCCCATTTAGGAAAGCATTCTTCACATCAAGTTGAAACAAGGGCCAAGAGCATGAGGCAACAAGAGAAAAAAGTATCCGAATAGAGGTCATCTTTGCAACTGGTGCAAAGGTCTCTAAGTAATCAATGCCATAGGTCTGTGTGTACCCTTTTGCAACAAGTCTTGCCTTGTACCTTTCTATATTTCCATCTGCCTTATATTTTACTGTGCAAACCCATCTACATCCAACTGTCTCCTTGAGAAGAATATGTGCAAAGCAGACACACCCAAATACCCTGAGAAGAATATGAAACATCTCCCCCTGAGGAAAAAGGAGACTGAATGGGGTGTTGAATCCAAGTATACGAGAGGGCACCCTGTTAATCAGATATACTGCTGTGAGAACTGCATCACCCCAAAACCGAACTAGAACTGTAGATGTGATCATCATGCTTCTTGCAATCTCAACAATGTGTATGTTCTTCCTTTCTGCAACACCATTCTGCCGTGGACTGTAGGGACAACTGCTCTGATGGACAACACCATATTCTAACAGATATGAGGCAAGGTGTCTTTCAAAATATTACCTGGCATTGTCGGATCTGAACACCTTTATTCTTGTTCCAAACTGTGTTAGCACCATCTGATGAAATTGCCTCACCAAGGATGGTACTTCATCGCGGGATCTCATCAGGTAAATCCAAGAGTATCGTGAGAAACCATCCACAAATAAGAGAAAATATCGATAGCCTCCCATAGAAGGAACATGGTAAGGGCCCCACACATCCGAATGAATAACATCAAAAGAAGAAGAGGATCTTTTATTACTAGGTTTAAATGAATGTCTACAATGCTTTCCAAGTTGACAACCTTCACACTCTAGACTTGACAAACTAACAGACTCAAAAAGTTTTGGAAACAAAAAACTCAAAGAAGAAAAAGGTAAATGGCCCAAACGATTATGACAAAGCATAATTTGACCCACTGACCCTGACTCACTATCCCTGCTAACACGATGACTCTGATGAGGGGGAAGTACATCCAGGAGGTAGATTCCAATCACTTCACGACCACTCCCAATCGTCCTCTTTGAATCCAGATCCTGCAAAATACAATGACCATGAGAAAAAATTACTGAGCAGTTCAGGTTCTTAGTCAAACTACTAACAGATAACAAATTAGTGCTCAATCTGGGAACATGAAGGACAAAGGGTAGAGAAATAGAATCACTAATCTTGAAAGATCCCTTCCCAGCAATAGGAACATGGGATCCATCAGCTGTGGAGACCCTATCTCTGCCAGAACAGAGCTGGTAAGTTGAAAAAACAGTAGAGCTCTGGGTCATGTGCTCTAAGGCTCCAGAATCTATAATCCAAGGAGGTCCCTCCTTACTTGAAGTAGAAACATAATTTGCAGTAACGTGTGAACTACCTATGTGAGCAAAGGAAATAGAGTGGACTCCACCAGTGCCACATGTACCTTGCTGTCCGCTTGCGGCTGAACTGGAACTGGCTGTATCTCGCTGGTTTAGAAGTAGCCCATACTTCTCAAGTTCGGCCCTTATTGCAGCAGCTGCAACAGACTCCAAAGCAGCTGTAGTAGGAGGGGCCAGAATGTCACCAGTAACTACCATGTGTGCATTTTCCCTTCTTATTTTTCAATCTAGTCAGCACAAGATGTGGGTGAAGCTTCCGGCAAGTATCTCTTGTGTGTTTAGGCTTCTTACAGTAGTCACAGATCAAATCTCTTGTCTTCCTTCTTGATTTCACTGCCACCCCGATCTCCACTTTGTTTAGGTTTCACAGCACTTACCATGGCAGACTGATCAGGAATAAGGTTTTTCATCATCACATCTCTCCTGCACTCCTCCCCTGACACAAAGGCATATGCCTGGGAGAGAGTAACACTGTCCCTGGAAAGAAGGTGTTGTCGTGCAATATTATACTCAGGATTAAGGCCAGCAAGAAATTCAAACACCCTATACTTCGTTAGATGTTTCTGATAGGTAGTTGCATCCTTGGTGGTTTCCCAAGCAAATGTCTCTAAATGGTCCTGCCACAGGGTTTTAAGGGCTGAAAAATAGGCTGCAACAGGTCTATCTCCCTGCCTTGTAGAAATAATCTGATTTCTCAACTGATAAGCCCTAGCAACATTCTCCCTCTATGAATAGGTTTCTGCAACCCCATCCCATATTTCCTTAGTTGTATTTGCCCATAAAAATTTTTTACTTATATGGGGCAACATGGACTTACACAACCAAGTCATCACCATATAATTCTCCTGTACCCACCGGGAGTTGCTAGTTTCGGGTTTCACCTCTTCACCAGTGATATACCATAATTTCCCACGAGCACCAAWGGCCATCTTTGCAGATTGTGACCATTCTAAGTAATTTGCACCATCCAACCTAACTGTAGTAATGGTCCCAGCCCCGAAAGGGTTTCCAGCACCTCCTCCCACTGGTCCCATTTCACTCTCGGGCTTATTTTCAACTCCGTGGCCCTCCATGCTTCTAAAAAATTGTAAAGAAAATAACTGAAATTTGCAACAAGATCAAACAAAACACCTTTTGGAACCAACGCCTTTCTGGTGTCCTAGACTTTCTTCCCACAAAAGATTCCTTTTCTATAGGACGAAAGAAGAGAGAGAAGAGGCAGCCGCTCTCTCTAGAAGCCTCCAAATCAGGTAGGACTTGAATTGCCCCATACAAAAAACTCCAAGGAACCTTAAAAAATTAGGGCGCCACTTCCTAGGTCAAAATTGAAGAATCCAACAGAAACAGGACTCTTCCCCTTTCTCCAGTTTTTCCTGATTTTGATGAGAAACCCTAGACCAACTACAAGGCACACAGATCCACCAAAAAATCCAAAAACTAGGCTTACCTGAGAGCTTTGATCAGCCTCTTAAATCACCATGCAGTCAGCCGATCTAGGGCTGCATGAGAGAACAACTTCAAGGAACCTTCGGCCCGCTCTGATACCAAGTAGAAATCACTAGTTGCAGATTTAGTCGAGTTTCTTGTGAAAGGAAAGAGGAAGAAGATGAAGATTTCAGCAGTAGAGAAGAAAGGAGAAGAAAAGAGTAGGAAGTCAACCAAGATTGTAAAATTAACCCTAGCCACCTACCTCTCATTATATTTATACTTAACTTAAAGGAAGAGATATTACAAGGATGCCCTTAGTAGGGCAGCTACTAATATAGCTGAACAGTCAACTTAAAAAAACATAAACTAATGGGCCTAAAGCCCAACAACTTCCTAACTAAATAAAAAACAACTCGGACCAACTCAACAACAAAGTTATATTCCCTTTGGCAAAGGTATGAGATACAGTAAACATACCACCCATGTTGTAAGTCATCATTGCCAATATGGAAATCAAAGTACACATAAGTCCCCTGTTCACATTCATCAGTTGTGACTCTGGGTTCCTCATGACGTTGAAACCATGTACTATATTTCCTGTGGTATCTCCATGATTGCCTTTTCAACTCTCTTGCAGCCAAGTATTGCTGATAAGTATTCTGTTAATTGCATTTAGCTTAAGAACAAGCCCAATATGATAAAATCATACAGCAACAAAGAAAAAGAATATAAGCAAACATCGCACCTGTTGAAAGTAAAATGCAAAGAACAAGGTATCAGTTCCCATAGTATCAACACCTAAGCGTTCCCAGAAGGCAGGATTATCAACAATGGGTGACTGCACTTGAGGATAGCTCAGAGGGGTTACTGCAGGATGTCTCTGTAAGCAGAAAAACAAAATTATCTACCAGTTAATTTTGAAATAAAGTCTTGGTAAAAATAAACTATAGAACAGAAACTCCCATACTGGAGTATAGCTCTTTGCACGTTCTGAGTCTTTGGGTTGGGGAAGCTTGTAATATGCAGCCTCAAGCATCTGCATATTGTATGTGTGATCATGCATTCCAGCAGAATTTGCAGTGGATCCACTGAGGTTATCGCCAATTGCACCAAGATCAGAAACACTCCTTCGACCAATGACACCCAAACCAAGTGAAGGTTGATTGGACTGCAATGGTTGTCCAGGAGAGAGGTCAGTATCTCTTGGCACCTGGGCAGGTTCTACTAAAGAACCAGATCCTCCAACCTGATATGCAAGCACTTAAAAAGATCAGACCATGGTTCCAGAAATTTTTACATGCAAACTTCTTACACACCATAGAAAGCAAGAAATTCCACTTCACTATATTTATTACTCTTAGTTTAAACTATTTTGATCTGTTACTACCTTACTGGTCTAGGAAACAAAGAAAAAAGAAAACTAGAAAGTCAACAACACCAGAACTATCATACATTCCACATTCAGAGATTTGAAATTTCCTAGAATTCACTTGGTGAGATTTAGTACATGTAAAGTTGGGGTAAGTAGAATAGTTGACATCAAGATCCATTCTGAAGGAGCATTCCTGGGTAAGGCCAACCAGCCAGGTTCATATAAGTTCCTGAACATTCATATCCAAACCTGGCAAAGCCAGTGTTGAATGGATACAAACATGAGGGTCAGAATTGGATGCGTGTCCAAGATTTAACTTGTCCAAAAAAAGAAAGAAAAAATACATCGACTTGAAGGATATCCACAAAAAAGTATTTACCATTAAAACAGCCTATTGTTTTAATTCTAACGTTAAGCACATATAGGGTTTTCGAGCAAAATAGCATCAATTGTGTACATTAGCTGTTCATTTATGTCAAATAAGTACGCTAGGAGAAATTAGAAAATGTTACATTGTAGTATCCCTCAGGAATCAAGGAAGGGTCAAAATCTGACGCATGTCCAACAGGGACACTGCATGCAACACTGTAAAGCATGAGAAGTGGAGTGCACCAAAATCATCTGCTAGTGTTTTTTAATATCAGCAAGTTTTCATTTCATAAATACACTCAAGAAACATGGTTTAAGGAAAACTTTATCTTAGTCATTGAGCTTAAGCTAGAAATACATATCTTTTGTAGCTAATAAGAATATCCTTATTGATTTAGACACATAAAAGCAACATCTTCTTAATAAAGGCAAAATGATACAAACAACAAAACAAGGCAGATCAGTTTTTAAGCTGGCTTACTGAGTCCTAGTGATGCAGGAGATGAAAAGTCGATTGGAATTTTATGATATTTTATCTATTTCTGGACAGTAGGGGTATTTTTTGTCATTTTTGCAATTTTCTGTGGGGTCCAATGATAGGGTTTAATTTGTCTAGTTATAGTTTGTTTATATTTAAAATTTCAAAGTCATTACATAAGTAGGATTAGAGTTATTGAGTCTTCTTTGAATTGAAATAGGATAATAACAGCTTAGTTTGAGTCCTACTAGGATTATTGAGTCTAACAGTTTGACTCCTATGACTATTATGAGTCTAATAGTTTGACTCCTAGGATTATTATGAGTTTAGAGTCTATAAATATGTATGGACGTTTTACACAAAGGCAATGAAGTTTATTGAGTTTTATCAGCTTATGCTAGCTATGGTGAGTGTTTCCCATGCCCTAGAGTGATTCTAGGCACCCTGTGAGTTATTCCAGGTATTTTCTCTCTTCTTTTTCTCCCTATTTTCTCTTTTATTCCTTCAAGAAGCCATTACAGCCATCAACAGCCATAAAATTCTGATCCAAGAACCATTCAACATTCTCTAAGGACTATAACTGAGCTAGTCCTACATCAATTGGAATGGTTTTTTTTTTAAAAGAAGGTTAACTTTATTTGAAATAAAAAGAGGTACATGAGGAGATGTACACAACAATTAAGCACTCAGAAAGTTACATAGGCAGAAAACTATCACTAAAAAGAACTAATGGTTTATTCACTATGTTCTCACAAAGTGATCGATTCTTTAGGCCTAGGGTATCTTCTAGACAATCTTACAAGCCTAGAATCAATGATAATTGGGTTTTTGAACCATATGAAGGGTCTTTGGTTGACTTATTTGAGAAGATGGTGGAAGAAAACAGATCTAATAATGCTAACTATGGGAGTAAGGTTTTCAAACATGTTAGAAGAGAAAGGGAAATACCAGATTTCAAAGAAGATGATGATCCACAAGCATTCTTTGATTGGGTTGCTGAACTAAAAGAATATTTTGATTGGCATGATATGTTTGACAAACAAAGAATTAGATTTGTGCGCATTAAGCTGACGGGTCATGCTAAAGTATGGTGGAGAACTCTTGAGCAACAACTAGAGAATAGAGGCGATGATCCAATTAGTTCATCGGCAGAGATGAAGAGGTGTTTGCAGGGAAAGTACATCCCACTAAACTTCCATGATGATCTATATATGGAGCTGACTAATTTCGAGCAAAGAAGAAGAATTTGAGGATGAAGCTAAAGAAGAAGAATTCCAAGTAGATAAGAAAGTAGATGATTCCTTGCACGTTGATACCTATCCCAGAGTTGAAGTTGAGGATGAAGCTAAAGAAGAAGAATTTCAAGCTATAAAAGTTGTAGATATTAAAAATCAAGAAGGTGTAAGCCAAGCAAAAATAGAAATTGTTGGAGTTTCCAATACCCATGATCAGCTTGAGGTTAATAATCAAGAAGAAATATAACGGGAGCAAGTTAAAGAAATTCATGTGCAAGATACAAATGTGCTGATTGTAGTAAATCCTAGTACGGAAGTATGTGAATTTACGTTATAAGATCAACTAGAACTAATTCAAGAATTACAACCCGACATAGCACAAGTTCCACCAACATCAACAATAGAAGGAGTCCTAGAGTTTGTTGAAGAACCAAGGATAGAAAAACACATAGAGATAGTGTTTCCTAAGCTAGAAGTTGAAGGAAAAGTTCCAAATGTTGTAGTTGAGAATTTGGATAAGCAAGGGGAAGATTCATCACAAAGGCTGGTTGATGAATTAGATGTTCAGGAAACTAATGTTATTGATGATTTAACAAAGATGGTTATGAAAGGTAGTTTTTCAAAACTACGTTTCTTTCAAAATCCTTTTGTAGTTCTATGTGTGGCCTCTACTCTACAATCCAGGCATGTAGTTGTGGGAAGTCCTACTCCTTTTGTAATTGGGGCATATCAATTTTTCATCCTCAAGTTCTTCAAAACTCGAGGACGAGTTTTTTTGAACCGGGGGAGAATGATGCAGGAGATGAAGAGTCAATTGGAATTTTATGATATTTTATGTATTTCTGTATTTTTGGACAGTAGGGGTATTTTGTCATTTTTGCAATTTTCTGTGGGATCCAATAATAGGGTTTAATTTATCTAGTTATAGTTTGTTTATATTTAAAATTTCAAAGTGGTGTTTTTCCAACTAAAGAAGTCTGGGATTCCATGATGCAAATATGGAAAAATGGAAACCAGGGAAGAAATCAAGTTTCTCTAGATTCTTCCACCAGCAGTAATTTAGTAAATTGGGTTTGAAATTTCTAGAAGATATACTGCGGCAAATTTAAGACATAGAAAGAGGAATGAGGTTTTAACAGAAAGAGAGAGAGAGAGAGAGAGAGAGAGAGGAGGGGGGAGGGATAGGGAGAACAAGGAGATAAGATCAAAGGACAAACCTTAGTGATAACACTGTAGAGAAACAGAAGCAAGAAGTAGGATCAAGTTGTTGGAGCATCAAATTTGAAGCCCCAAAACACATACATATGTAAACATGTGCATGAAGGCTAACAGCAGTTCTACTGCATATTAGGAAAGAGTGTAAGTACTACATAGAAAAGGAGGGAGGGAAGGTAGGTGGGCTACTGGTGGGCTGCTGTAAGGAGGGAAAACCAGAAGAGGAGAGAATGACCCACGAGAAAGGAGGGACGGGGCCAGATAAACTCATGTTTCCAAAGATGTTCATCCCTTCTTGGCAGAGAAAGGCAAAAAGACTTTAGCCATGTTTTATGGTTATCCACTTGTGTCTCTGAAGGCTATAGAAGACTCTTCATACCAAACCAAAACTCTTGGTAGGCAACACAACACCAGCAGGAACTCCAAAGATATGATATATGGTCCATACTCACATCTACCATGATTGAAGTGATGTTTGTTTGCCTAAAACACAAAAACTAAAAAAATAAAGTAAAAGAAAGAAAACTTAATCATGTCTTTAGAATGTGAATTAAACTATAAATACTGAACATACAGGTGTGTCTACTGAGTATGGAGTCTTCAGATCGTCCTCATTCATGAGATTTTTGTTCACCCCAGAACTTGTAGTAGGTTCCCCACTTGAATCATCAGATGGATTTTGTTGCTGCTGGTCATCAACTTTATTGTGGCCAACATCTGCATCATCATATTTAACAGCCATATAGTTACCTTCTTATCTTTGTTATACAGATTGTAAGTGTGGACAATTAGTGAAGCCATAGTAGAAGCACCTGATTCTTTTGGCACAGGAGAACTCAAAGCACGCTGAGTGGATTGTTGATGAATTAAATTTGGCTGTTGTAATGAAGCTGATGCAACAGCATTTAGACCTGGTCCCTGAACTCCAAGACCCAGTCCAATATGAGGCGATAATGAGTTTTGAGAATTGAACTGCATAGGTTATCAGTTCTCAGATAATGAGCATCAAGAATTCAAAATCAAATGGCACATGAAACCATAAAAGTGGGAAGGCAATAAAGTGAAACCCCAATACTAATTTGAAAGCATAGAGATTCCAGAAAGACGATGTCTTTTTTATGTACAAGTAGCATGTGTTCCTTCATTAAACATTAGAAATTGCAATAAGAATTTTTCTCTTGAGAGGATGTCAACAAGATATTCTGAGAAAGATTTCCAACCAGAATGCCAGACTTTCTGTTTGACAATTATTTGTATCCCCACAAGATATTGAAAGCAACTTGACTTCAGGAATTTGGAATTTAAGTTTTAATTTTATCTATATGCTCATACTCACAAGAATTGTTATTTATATACTCATTTTTGCCTGTTTTGGAAGTCGTGGTCATGTAAGGAGTATTTGTCTTTTTTGCCAGTGTTATGTTATCTTCATATGTATCAGGGTGGTTAGGTCATTCTACAATGATTATTAGTTCAATTTATAATTGAAGCAGAAAATTTCCGACACATAACAAGAAGCTTCAGCCACAAGTATTAACAAGCAAATAAAGAAGAGAAAATAGAAGAGGAAGCAAGAATTAATTCTACTATAGCTGCTGGCTATGGTAGAAACAGAAAAGAAAAAAAAAATCTTTATTCAATTGAATGGAATGGATTGTTCTCTATAAGACCCGTTGACACTCTTTTATAGACCCAAAATAGCAACTTCCAGCTGCTATTTGGACTCTAAGACTCACTTCCAGCTCCTATTTGTGATGGAACATGGTTGGCTGGTGGCATGGCATATAAAATAGAAATAAGGCATAAAATAAAAGATGAAAGTGAGAAAAAGGTTCTTTTAAGTTTTCCTCCCATCAATAGTTTGGTAGTATGGAGTTGCCACTAAGTGAAAGTAAGGCCAGGTTAGGTCGGGACCATCAAGTTGAAGTCTACCCCAACCCAACCAAAGTTGTTGAACCCCTAACCCAACCATACTTTTCAGTTTTTGTTGGGATCAGGTTGGCCCAGCTTCTTGACTTCATGTTGCTTAAATGTTCTTGTTTCTTAGACTTAAGATTAGTGGATTAAGGTTTACTGATTTTAGCATTATTATATTTAAAACGACAAAGTTATGGTGCTTTAGGAATACTGTACTTATATGATACAAGTTCGGAGTAAATACATCCCCTCCAAGGTAGCTTTCCTAGTTTGGACTGCAATTCTTGGGAAGTGTTTAACTGCTGACAAATTGATCAGAAGAGGCATGGACTGATCAGTTCAATTGCAGCCTTTGTGGGGTCTACAGTGAGTCTTAAAATCTCCTTTTTATCCAATGTAGTTTCAGTCATCAGCTGTGGTCTATCTTGCTTCAGTCTGCAAGGATGTCAAATTGGCTTTTTGGTTCAGCTATTACAAGAATGGAGACTACAGGGATTAAGTAGAAGAGGCAGAAAAGAGGGAGAATCCTGTGGAGTATACCCCCTGCTGCAATCATTTGGGTGGTGTGTAAGGAAAGGGATCAAAGTTTTTTTTTTTTTTTTTTTGACAAGTGAAAGGGATCAAACAATTTTTTTTTTAAAACAAGCAGAATGAAATGGATATAGTATTTTTTGATAAGTAAAGAAGCAGTTTATTAATATTAATCAAGATGAACTAACAAAAAATACAGCAGAGAGTTCCCACAAAGAGGTGTGAGATGCTGCCTCAAAGACAAAGCAAAATTGCAATTGAGCCCAAAATAATTAATCCCTATGCACCCTTGCTTAGCAAGGTCAGCCAACCCATTAGCCTATTTTTCCCACTGGACTCTAACTGTTAATAAGTTAGCCACTTAAATCTTCTCATCACCCCCCCCCCCCCTGAAAGACCAGGCTACAGTCTTCGGCTCTTTCAGCCACCAAATAACCAGTCTAGAGTTACCTTCAATGACCAATCTCCCAAAGTTCATCTCTAGCAATCTTTGCCCCATGTAAAACTGCTTGGATCTCTGCACTAACCGCATCCCCCTTCCAATTGGACCAGAGAACAAGCAATAATCTGACCCTCTTCATTCCTGAATACTCCTTTCAATATCAGAAGGCCCAGGATTACCGAGGCTACTACCATCAAAGTTTAGCTCAAGGTTCAAAGTATCGATATGTATCAGCCCGTATCGGCTGATCCATATCGTGTCAATGGCTTCTCGATACGCCCCTCCAGGGGTTGTATCGGGTCAGGCACTGGTTCAGAGGGTGGTCGGGCCTTAAACCGACCCCTCTGAACCGGTTTCAAAAAAAAATAATAAAACCTAAAAAAAAAGTACTGCTACTGTTGATACTTTGAACCTTGGTTTAGCTTGATGAAACCTTCTTCGGGAGGCTTCCAGGCTACAACTGGCTTGTTCTTAGCTGAAGAAAATTTTGCAAGTTACCCAAAGTGTTTGGGATAATGGAGAAACTGGGAAGCAAGATTTTGTTCTTAGCAGATCTCTCCCAAACACTTCAGATACTGTTTGGGATGGTTTGCTTTAGCCAAGGTTCAAAGTATCAACACAGGTCGATACGCCGGTAGGGCATATCGGCCTGTATCAGTACTTTTTTTTAGGTTTTATTTTTTTTCGAAACTGGTTCAGAGGGGTTGGTTCAAGGCCCAACCACCCTCTGAACCAATGCCTGACCCGTTACAACCCCTGGAGGGGCATATCGGGAAGCCATCGGCACGATACGTATCGGCCCATATCGGCCGATACGTATCGATACTTTGAACCTTGGCTTTAGCCAATTGTAGCTTGCAAAGGATACACCAGTTTGGGAAGATATTAAGGTCGGGTCGTCTCTTTTGCAAATTATCTGAAGTTCTTATTTTCCCAAGAGACTTCCCAGCAAAGGGCTCCCACCTTGGGGCATGGGTTTAGACCAAATTTCTTTACAAAAGAAAGAACACAACTGAGAGAAAAAAGAAGCACAAGAAAAAAGACCTAGAGAGTTAGGAGTCCATATTCTAGTATCAGGTTTAGAGTGATCCAAAAAATCAGGGCCAAGGGTTTTGAGTAGAAAACCAGCTTGGTCAAGCTCAGAGTCTCTCAGGTCTCTTCTAAAACCCAGATTCCAACTATACAAAAAGAAACAAACCTCCGAATGGGTTCATTTTTTAAAGATGGAGAGGGAATACATAGAGGGGCAAAGGTCCTTAAGGGTGGAATTACCAATCCAAGTGCCTTCCCAAAACAAAACTCTAGCACACACATCATATCTGATAAGGCATAGGAATTGGGGAAGGATGCCATTGATAGCCTTCCACGAAAAGTTCAGAGTGGCCCGCCGAGACACTCCAGCATCCCAACCATTACCTACACATGCATGAATGCTTCCTATGACCTTGTGCCAAAGCCTCTACCTCTCTAGAGACCATCTCCACAACCGCTTACCCAATAAAGCAACGCTGGTCTTCCCTATATTGCCTATACTCAATCCCCCTTGCTCCTTACTTTGGCAAACTAAATTCCATCTCACCAAGTGATCTTTTCTTTGTTCACCAAGTTCCCATAAGAACTCTCTCCTGATCTTCTCTACTTTCAACACCTCCCTTTGTGGTGTCTTAAAGAACAAGAGAAAGTAAAGTGGAAGGTTTGTTAGAGTAGACTTTATCAGAGTAATACAACCCCCAGAGATGCATAAATCCTCTTCCAAGTTGACAATTTCTTAACATAACTTTCAAGAATTGGATTCCAAAAGCTTTCATCCTATGGGTTGGCTCCTAAAGGCATACCTAGATATTTCAATGGTCAACTAGTAGTAGAACAACCTAAGGCCTCTATAAAGAATAGGGATGTCAATGGGTCAGGTTCAGCACAGGTTTGCCTCAACCCTAACCCGACCCTGTATTGTCTCCACCCAAACCCACCCCCCACCCCAACTTACCAAAAGGATCAATTTCCAAACCCACCCCGACCCTATAAGACAAAACCCAATGCCAACCTGACCTAACTTGGCTTATGTTTCTTCTCGCCAATGGAGATGCACTGATGCATCAGGGTGGTTATTTCCAATAGATACATTTATAGTATATTCTATGAAGATAGAATTGGTCTTTGGATATGACTTGCTCCATACTTGGTTGGGCAAAGAAGAATAACAATCTATTGAAGAATCCTTAAAAAACAAAATAAGAAAATTCCTTTTATGACTTAATGAAACCAAAGAGAAGTATTTCCAAGGTTTCCCACATCACCTATTTGTGATTTTCATGGGTTAATGCTCAAACAAAAACTCATGACAGTGGCTCTAATCTAATATTTTTACTTGTTAAAATAGACAATTTTTCCAGAGTTGCTTGGACATTTCTTCTTCTTTCAAGTTTCAAGCTTTCAACAATTATTTTTCTGTAAAGCCCCAACAATTTGAAGTTTGAACCATAAGAAAAATAGGAGAAGAAAAACAGAAGGAGAAGACCAACTTACCAGTGAGATACCAAAAGAGAGCTTCTCCTAAGTGCTATGTAATTCGTTGGTTGTCCTTTTTTCCAAACTCTAGTCGCCTCTTCCAAAAAAAATTCAAAGATAGTAAATGAAATGAAATGCAACCCTTGGGGCTATAGATTTAGACTATACAAAATTACAACAATACCCTCTATATGTAGGGGATATCATGACCCGATAGACCCGAAAACAACTTGGGTTAGACTTTTAAAACCCTAAATTACTAACTAACCCTACACCCAACTGAACCTGCCCTGATAATTTGGTCCTCCGAATTACTCCGCGACACATGGCCTTCAAGTGACACCTCGGCGGTGATCAGACAAACCAGTTCGGCAAGTCAACCTCAAGCAGCTCGTCCAGGCCGACCTCCACCTCGGTCGAGCCGAACTGATGGGTTTCCTAACTCGTAGCGACCTGCCTCAAAGACCAGTCAATCTGTAGGAATCTATAGCAACCTGCGAGCGAGCAAGCGAGCGAGCTGACTTGTTTCGAAGAGATGTTACCAACCTGAGATCTCCGGAACATTAATGCCTCGACCGTTGGATCAGCCTACCACACCACGCGTGCAGTATTGTATTCCGCGTGTCATCTTCCATGAAGTAAATTACTTCTTCTCTTCGAGAGAGCTTTGGCGGATTGTCATTATCATGCTCAAGTTCCCTAACCGAGCTCTTTCCGACCAAGGTGGTACAACCGGCTACTATAAATTACTTCTTCTCTTCGAGAGAGCTTTGGCGGATTGTCATTATCATGCTCAAGTTCCCTGACCAAGGTGGTACAACCGACTACTATAGACCCTCCAGTGATCATGTTGATGACCCCCCGGACAGGTCTTTCCTGTTGCTGATTCCTGGGAGCTGCTTCTTGCTCCCGACTATTCTGAGGTACCTCCCTGCTTTGCTCGGCAGGTCGGCCTTCATCTTTCACGAACTGCATAAGGTATCCTCGGCGGATCAAGACTTCAATCTCGTTCTTTAGATTCCAACAGTTCTTCGTCACGATAGAAGTGGCAGTACTTATTAAGGTTTTTGGTTGTTGGGTCACCCTTCATCCTGGGTGGCCATTTTACATAGTTGGTCGATTTTATTTGCATCAGTATTTCTCCCCTTTTTGCATTCAGGGGGTAAAGGTCTTATTATACAATGGTGGGGTTCTGGAGAACCGGTTTAAACCCCGTTATGGAGACTTACTCTTTCTTCTAGGAGAGTTGCTTCGCTGATTTCTTGGTGACCTGCTTCTTTTGGGAGACTTGCTTCTCCTCTTAGATTTGTTGCTGCCTACTTCTTCTTCAGCTCGCTTCCTTTTCCCAGATAACTTGGACCGCGAACCCAGTGCTTCTTCTGCCTTTATAAACTTATCCGCCACGTCGAGGAATTCTTCCATAGTGGTTGGAGAATTTGATTCTATCTCCCAGAGTAGGTCAAGGTGACGTACGTCGTTCTTGGCCGCGATGAACTGTACGGTTGGGTTCAAGTTCGGGATTTGCAGATGTTCCAAGTTAAATCTTCTTATGTACTCCCGAAGTGTTTCATTAGGTTTTTGTATTACATTAAGCAAGCAGGTCGCTGATTTAGAGTGATTTTTACTTGTGGCAAAATGTGCAATAAATAAGTTGGCGAACCAGTTCCAGTTTTTTATGGAACTAGGCGCTAACCCTGAATACCAGAGCTGAGCTTCATCTCGAAGGGTAGTAGGGAAAGCTATACACATGCTAGCGTCATTGGCCCCGTGAAGGAGCATTAGGGCCTAAAAGCTGTCAACATGATCAATCGGATCTTATGCACCTTTGTAGATCTCGAAGGTCGGCACTCTGAAGTTCTTCGGCCTCGGAGCCTGGAGGATTTCTGGTGCGAGTGATGATTCCCGAGTTATGAGGGGTTCTAATGATGCGCCTACCTGGCTAGTTGCTTTGCTTACTTCTTTTTTGTCCATCACGCTCCCAACTAGAGTGAGCTAACTCTTCTTGGAGGCGCGATGAGCATGTCTACTGCACCTCTTGGAGCCTTTTAAAGAGATGGCAGCCTCTATCCCGATGGGAGCTGTAGTTCGGGTCTCCACCGGAAGTTGGTTCTGATTCTGATCAGGGACCGCATTGTCCATCGGAAGCTGATTGTTGACTGGTTCAGGGACCCGGTTGGAGACATGATTGTGTACCTGGCTAGGAAACCGAGTTGGGGCCAAGTTCTGGTTGCCGATCTAATTAAGCCCAGCGTTCTGTCGATGTTGCTGTTGGGATGTTATTTGTTGATTCTGATGGTGTCGGGGTTGCTGGTATTGTTGTTGTTGTTGTTGCCCCCCCCCATCATGGTGGCGAACTTACTTTCCTAGAATTTGAGTTGGTCACTCATTCCCCGTACACACTACACCAGGTCGTTGGCGCACACCAACCCCAGCAAAAGTCGTTGCGGGCTCGTCTATAAGGGGAGGCACGTTCACAAGTGCGAATTCAGGGCTCAAAGGGACGTCAATTTGTCCTATGGTCACTGAGGAGACTTCTGGATTGCCCCGAGCTGCCCATTGACCTGATTGTTGTTGTTGTTGGAAGGTTGATTGCTTGATGATGCCATTAGTATTAAAAATTTGTGAACAAAAAAATACCAAGCTTTTTGTGTCAATTTCCCACAAACGGCGCCAATTGATGTCGCATGATCTGGCTCCTCTCGCGTGTCTAATGATTCGGACTTTGATTCGGGTTGTACCTTGTCAAGCCGAGCTGTGCTAGGCCAAGCTAGAGATGGCCAATCTGGTTTTGTTCTGCAAGAGAAAAACTTAGAGTGCCCGGGTTGTCTTTACCCAGGGTGGGCACTCCGATGCTTAAGTCAGAGAGTGTTTTAGAGTCTTTAGAGAATGAGAGAGCTTGTAATCGTGCGTTCCTTCACAAGTAGAAATGAGTGTCTTATATAGGCGCCAGTGGTCTAAGTCCCCTTACAACGGGTCTTATATTCTCGTGGAGTCGTTTCCGCTTAGTTCGGTGAGTTATGTGTCAGTTATGTGTTCTGTGTGGGGGTTACGATCTGTCCGAGTAACTTTGGGGCGTGTGGTGCGGTAGGCTAGTCCAACGGTCGAGGCATTAATGTTCCGGAGATCTCAGGCTGGTAACGTCTCTTCGAGACAAGTCAGCGAGCTCGCTCGCAGGTCACTATAGATTCCTACAGCTCGGCCGATCTTTGAGGCAGGTCGCTGCGAGTCAGGAAACCCATCAATTCGGCTCTGCCAAGGTGGAGGTCGGCCTAGACGAGGTGCTTGAGGCTGACTTGCCAAACTGGTTCGTCTAGTCACCGCCAAGGTGTCCTTGATTCAGAATTTGGGAGTGGTTCTTTAACCTCTTTGGGTGCAAGTAGACTCTACCTACAAGCTTAGCTAGTTTCTTTGTAGGTGAATCCTTCAAGTGGCCAAGGAAAAGAGGAAGAATTTTATGGAGATGCACTAGGGCTGTTGTTGTATGGAGAGTGTGGGAAAAAAGAAATGTGAGACTATTCAAGGAAGAGGAGAGAAATGTAGAAACAATCTTAGATTGTGTTCTCTTGATGGTGATTCATTGGGTCAAGTCCTTGTACTAGTTCTCACCCTTCTTCTTTGACGACATAAAAAGGAATTGGAGGGAAGTGGCTTCTTTCTCTACAAAAAATACTAGAACAGTTCCGATTTGGAAACCACCCTCAGAAAGCTTTATAAAACTCAATTTTGATGAGAGCCGTTTTGGTAACCCAGGCCCTTAAGGCATAGGAGGAGTTTTCAGGGATAAAGATAGAAATATTTTAGCTTTATTCTCGGGGCCTATTGCTCAAGGAGACTCAACTAAAGCTGAATTGTCTTCTGCATTGTGGGGTTCAATTAGCAAAAAATCTAAACATAAGAAGGTTGATGATAGGAGGCTCTCAAGTAGTAGTCAGTTGGTTAAAAAATTGTTTTGGGCTTAGTTGTTTTAAGGAACAATTGTTTTACCTGCTCCTGAGAGCAAGGGGTGGTCAGGGAGTGATTGTTTGGATCAGTTGTTTTAACTGCTTTTTAGGGGTACTCATACCCCGTTTGTAACTCATTGTGTATTCTTGTTTATATTAATGAAATGTCACCTGTTATCTATCAAAAAAAAAATGTAAGGACAGAGGGATAGCTAGCAGGGGCTAGTCCAAATATAGGGGTGATTAAGCACTGCAATGTAACTTTATCATTCTTTAAAGCACTGCAATGTAAGTAAAAATTAATCATTCTTTAATTCAATCAATAAAGTTTTCAGTTACTGATCAAAAAATACAGAAAACTTGTCTCATTTTACATGGAAAAAAAATGGGGAATGGTTTCTGAGACATGGTTTAAAACAAATTCTAGGGAAAAAATGCTCCTTATGTTACATCAGTATCAAAATAAGAAAAACTATAAATAACAAGGAAAAGCTAGCATTTATTTTAAACTGCACAGCTAGAAGTTTACTGAGTTGTCTTTATATAGAAAGATGTGAAAGGTAGGAGTATGTTTTGCACTAAAATCCATAAATATAACCTGTTGTAATAGTGAGCTTTGCTGTTGTGCATTGAACTGCATATGATTTCCCCCAGCAAGTTGAGAATGTTGCTGAACTTGTTGGAGCTTCTGCAAAAATTTCTCCCTTTGATCAGGTTGAACACGAAATTGACCCTGACAAAAGAATGAAATAGAACAATGGTTTCCAAACATCAGATTTAACACCAGAAATCTTACATCTTGCAAATAAAACAAAAATGCCTCCACAAAATATGGAAGCATCAAGTCATCAACGCGTGATATGGTATTTATTTTGTAATAAGCACAACAATAGCTATCACCCATATTTTAACTTACAAGCAGTATAGAATAGATGTAGAAACACCAATGCTGTCAATGGCACCCATGCTGCTCACCATGAAACCATTGTGAGGCATTGCACTGGTACAATGCCATGGAATGACCATAGCAAGAGGATTTAAATATGGTGCTCATTATTGGTGCATGACAAACACCATATTTAAGTTGAATAAAAAAGTTGTTTTTTAATGTATATATTCAGAAGTTATTCAAGTTGTCCCTATTTATGGTACTTGCACATAATATTTTTCATATAAAATCTAATAATATTGTCAATTCATCTCTGAACTTGAAGCGAATTTGAACAATCCAGAATATTGAATCTCACTTTATCTTTTGCAGATCTAAACAATGGAACAATTATTTTTATTATCTCGTGATTTGTGATGCCCATAATGCTTGTTTATTTGAATTTATGCATAAATTGTTGGAATATGTCATTTAAATTTTTACGCAAACAGTTTTTATTTTTTATTTGTTAATTTGGCATCTTGAGCATGCACTATATGTGATGGCCTATGAAGGCCTACAACCTCCATGTTATACACAATAATGTAACCAACTGATCTAACAGGCTATTTCTCATTTCCTATATTTGGTTATTTAGCATTAGGTCTATGTATTTTTTTTTTGATGAATGAAAATAATTTATTAAATCAGAATATAAGGCAATACAGGAAAACCATGAAGAGGCGTGAGCTGTTACCTCTTCTAACAAAGTATTACATCACTTAAGAACCGGATAAGCAGAAATAAACAGAAATAAAATTACATAGCAGCCCAAAACAAATGATCCCTTRAAACCCCTTGCTTAGCTAGTCCATCCGCTAAGGAATTTGCTGATCTTTCTACCCAAAGAGAGGTAACTGTCATATTTCTTGTGAGCCAATTGACTTTCCTCAATAAATCTCTA